CTCCAAGCATCATACTAAACCTGTTATGTGGTTTTCTTGTTTGTCACAACCTTTGTAAGTACCTTTCTGATGCCAAATTTATGAATTTTAGCATAGAGAAGTTAAGTAATTTTCACAAGATTATGTTCTAAGCAAATTTTAGAGCTAGGTTGTCATTCTGACTTTAACACTATCATGTTGTCCCTACAAGAAAATGACTGTTGTGCTGTCATTTGAGATTAATCTTCTATGAGTGCCACTAGCTTCAGAAGCCTCTCTTGGAGCTCACTGAGTATAGTTCTCATAAATTTGACTAGCTTCTTTACATTGACTAGAATTTTTGTTTGCTACCAAGATGGGGGATTCTCTGCTATCTATCTACATTCCTCCTCATAGCCAATAAATTATTTCAGTTACACATCTAACTCTAAGGGATAAAGTTTCCTTTGGAGTTTTCAAAGATTTGTGATAGGAAATAGCCACAGTTTAATTGATTCTTAATCTTCCTCTATTGAAAAAAAAATAATTTACTTCCAGGAAAACTTCAAGGAAATAAGAAAGACAATAATTAAAGAAAGTATGAATTAGATGTCAATCTAAAATAGAAGGGGACACGTTTTAGTTGGTGCTTTTAAAATGTGTTTAGAAAAAAAAATCAATCTCTTCCTATTCATCCCATGCTCACATGTAAGAGATTTTCATTCATTCATTATGAATCATTATGATTTTCATTCATTAAAGTTACAGATTTTCAAAATCATAAAACATCTTAACAACAGAGACACTTGAAAATCACATTTCGTGTTCCTAGAGTTCTTGGAGTTTTAAAGTTGACTCCTACTGCTAGATGGATTGGGTCTCCACTCTCCTAGAATTTACCTTCCAGAGATTCCTAAAGTACCTACAAAATCTTTCATTTTACAGGAATTGAACTGTCTCTGTCAATGATTTGACCACACTTTATGTTTCTTTAATTTTGTAACTTCCCCTTGTTTGGATCCTTAACATTTAGAAGGAGGCCACAGATCATTTCACATTTTGACTGGAGTCTGAAGTTACTAATGGTCTACTAGATTAAATTTTGTGCCCGATTATCAAACCTGTGCATAGGAAGAAGATAGATATTGGTCAGTGTGGCTTAGGCAAGAGATTTCCTTCCTCTGTATGTTCCAAGAGTGGTTGAAATATTTAGAGATGGGGTGGTGGTTTGGGGGACCTAAGCCACAAAAGTCCTTATTTTTTTTTCCTTTTTTTTAAATTTTATTATTCATATGTGCATACAAGACTTGGGTCATTTCTCCCCCCTGCCCCCACCCCCTCCCTTACCACTCACTCCGCCCCCTTCCTCTCCCCCCCACCCCCTCAATACCCAGCAGAAACTATTTTGCCCTTATTTCTAATTTTGTTGTAGAGAGAGTATAAGCAATAATAGAAGGAACAAGGGTTTTTGCTGGTTGAGATAAGGATAGCTATACAGGGAGTTGACTCACATTAATTTCCTGTGGGTGTATGTTACCTTCTAGGTTAATTCTTTTTGATCTCACCTTTTCTCTAGTTCCTGGTCCCCTTTTCCTATTGGCCTCAGTTGTTTTTAAGGTATCTGCTTTAGTTTCTCTGCGTTAAGGGCAACAAATGCTAGCTAATTTTTTTAGGTGTCTTACCTTTCCTCACCCCTCCCTTGTGTGCTCTCGCTTTTATCATGTGCTCAAAGTCCAATCCCGTTGTTGTGTTTGCCCTTGATCTAATGTCCACATATGAGGGAGAACATATGATTTTTGGTCTTTTGGGCCAGGCTAACCTCACTCAGAATGATGTTCTCCAATTCCATCCATTTACCAGCAAATGATAACATTTCGTTCTTCTTCATGGCTGCATAAAATTCCATTGTGTATAGATACCACATTTTCTTAATCCATTCGTCAGTGGTGGGGCATCTTGGCTCTTTCCATAACTTGGCTATTGTGAATAGTGCTGCAATAAACATGGGTGTGCAGGTGCCTCTGGAGTAACCTGTATCACAGTCTTTTGGGTATATCCCCAAGAGTGGTATTGCTGGATCAAATGGTAGATCAATGTTTAGCTTTTTAAGTAGTCTCCAAATTTTTTTCCAGAGTGGTTGTACTAGTTTACATTCCCACCAACAGTGTAAGAGGGTTCCTTTTTCCCTGCATCCTCGCCAACACTTGTTGGTGGTGTTGCTGATGATGGCTATTCTAACAGGGGTGAGGTGGAATCTTAGTGTGGTTTTAATTTGCATTTCCTTTATTGCTAGAGATGGTGAGCATTTTTTCATGTGTTTTTTGGCCATTTGAATTTCTTCTACAAAAGTCCTTAAATGAGTTGTCTTCTTAAGAGAATAAGTGAAAAGATTCCACACAAGATGTCTTATAATACACAAATATCCATATTTGAAATACATTGACTAGCCAACTTCAAAACGTAAGTATCATTTTAAAGTATTTAAAAAACACCTCCAAACACAGTTACACAAGTTAAATATGCATATTCAAGGTAAGGCTCTCAGCCTCACTCCCCTTAGTGTCTACTAATTTCCTTTAAATGAACTCAGAACTTCACATATTGTTCACTTGGAGATCTCTGACTCTAAATTTTAAGCAGAAGAAACCGAACTTTTACAAGGTTCAAGCTAGCAAGCTTGCCACAATGAGTCACACTGGAATGTCCTGTGGTTAAAATTCTGCTCTGAAAACAGAATCAGGAGCAGCAAGACATCAACTGGTTTCCATGGAAACCTGTATTTGTGTACTTTGAAAAATGACTGTTACTTTTTGTGTGGTAAATTTACGCGGGAATGAATTGTAGAGGTGACGTTAGCCATCTGTGTGAATATAAACAAAAACCTTGATTTAATTAAGTGTACATGTTAAAAGGACACAAAACTCAGCATATGAGCTTTTTTCTCTCCCTTCCATGCATTGTTCTGCACTAATTATTTAGTTCATTAATTTATTTGACATCATATTTAAGCATTTTCAAAACTATTTGGTATTTATTTCAATACATCATTCTGTTCTCTTCAAAGGCAAAAAGAAACTAATTGTCATTCATCAGTGCTCCCCACTGCTTACCCCCCCCATCCCACTCACAATGTGCTATTTAAGACCACCAAATGCTGGGATCAGGGGCTTTCGTTCAATGAAGCAATCCCATCTGAAGGAGGAAAAAACCTCATTTAGTCATGTGAAAATGTCACATCTCTTAACCATGCTGAGTCTGGAGGCAAATATACTATACTGCTCTTCACCTTGTATAGAATCAAAGTTGGATGCCTCAACTTGTTACCTGCTAGTTTGTAAGATCTGTCAAGCTTAGGGAGGGTAATTTTGGTTATAGAAAAATCCCACCTTAAGTTTTGTTGGACAAAGATGAAATTATTTCAGCTTTAGTCACTAAATTATAATCTGTCATTAAGAATGCATCTTTCAGGATGAAAAATAGGACAGCCTTTTCTTGCTTATTATATATTTATTGGGAACAGTATGCTTATTTTGTATTTAGTTCCTATGTGGACTTCATACCACAGAGTTAGTGAAAACTAAAGCTGAGTTGAATATCCTAGGAGCACTCAGAGTGCAACCTGGACCATCTGACCTCCACTCCACCCCTGCATTAGAGGATGGGGTCTTAGAACTGAGGTGAAAGACTTTCCTTCTTCTGTTTTCTCTTTTTCATTTTTTATTTCTTATTCTCTCTCCCTTCCTATAGCTCTGTCAAAAATGTAAAATATCAGAAACTTGATAAGAAATACACAGTTTTTGAAGCAGCAATATATTCTTAAAGGAAGCTAAAGTGATCTGAAAAATAAACCTCATTCATTTGCTTGAAAAGCTTAGATTTTGTATTGAAGGGTGAATGACATAATGGACTTCTGGGCTTCCTTTCTCCCCCTCCTCCTCCACCCTCTTCTTCCTGCCCTGGCCCCCTCCCTCTCCCTGCTTCTCTCATTCCTTCTCCTCTTCTTTTTTGTGATACTGGGATTTGAACTCAAGGCTTCCTGCTTGCAAGACATGCACTCTGCTGCTTGAATCATGCCTCCAGTCCTGGGTTCCTCTTCTTAATTTTCTGCAGACCTTCCCTGAAATCTCACAAGTATATATGCCTGATGAGCAGCCAACTTGGGGACTGAATGAGAGAGGCCAAGATTTAGAGATGTGTGGTTTATTATGACCTTCAACAAGGCCTTACTTGGTTCACTCTTCTATGGAGTGATTACAAAAGATCTATTCCCTTTACTACCTAAAATGATTAGGCTGAAATTTAGGACTCTGATTCTAAAGTCTAACTATACAGGGTTGAAGTAGTACTGCAGATTAGATCATTAAAATAACTGCAGTTATAGGAGAAATCACTGTGTTCATTCATTGGGGATGTATTGAGAAGCTGCCCTTGTTAAAGCTGTGATCCAGGCAGTGAGGGGATACCAGGCATAGTTTGTGCTCTAAGGAAACTCAGAATTAGTAGGGGCAGTAAGATGTCAGACTATAACTAGAAAGCAAGGGATGTGACCATTTGTACAAAAGAAGTATAAATGAAAATGAAGTGGTTTCAAAAGGAAACTAATTGTTCATGCCTTTCTAGGATGTCTGAGTTTTTACAGTTAAGTATTCATTATACAAATTACAGTTTATGATTTACAATAGTTCTATTCTTTGAGCATCTCTTATGTGCCGTTGATATACAAAGACAGCGCATTCACCTGAGCAGTTCCCTATTTTGTGCTTGAACTATATTTCAGATTTTCTAGGTTGATAAAACCAAAAATTAATAGTTGGATTTCCAAATTTATTAGGCTTAAGAATCAGATCCATCTCTCAAACCCTCTGTAGGCAATTGTTTATTCTAAATTCTTGTTTTAAATCTCCCATGTTCCACCTCCTCAGCAGATGTACCTCTAAATTTTGACTCAGAGAGCAGCTTTTGCTATGTGAGTAGGTTTGGCTTTTTCCTTCAACAAACCATGTGCAATGTTTTCACATTGGGATGTTTCTCTTTGATTTCAGCTCTATGATGGACCAAATCGGATAGGACGCTATTGCGGAGCAAATATCCCTCCAGCAGGGAGTACTACAGACTCTAAGCTTCAAGTGCTGTTCCATACTGACTGGGTTGGTCACCAGGAGAAAGGATTTCAGATGCAGTGGTTCGTTCACGGTAAGCCCTGGACCGATCTCGGTTGTATTGTAATTACTATTTGAGTACAAATTGTTCCCTTTTCAGTTCCATCCTTGGAAACAATGCCATCAACAATTAATGAAAATAAGGGAGCAATCTGGTGCTAGGCTTTGGAAACTTTATTCAGACATTGGTGGAAGGTGGAGAATTAAATTCTGTTAGGGTTCAGAGAGAAGTGAAGTCAAAGTGGAAAAGATTTGAGTAACTTAAGTAGGTACAGTGATGGGTTGATTCAGGGAAAGGAGAGAGCAAAATCTATTTTCTAAGGATGAAGTCCCGTGTATACCAAGCACACTGCAAGGTCGCATGGGAGTCTCACAGGTGCAGTAGAATAGAATGAGATCTAAGGCTCTGTTTCACTTTAAACAGAGAAAGATAGATGAGAAAAGATAGATGGGAAAGAATAGGAGTGCTAGTCAGAAAGATCTGGGAAGGAAAAGGAGAGAGAAAGAATAGGAGAAAATCATTTAAACTGGATGCAAAAATCTAGGGGCATGTCTTCTTCCTGCCAAACAGAGTAGGGGAAACTTGCTGGCCATCTACAAATCAGTGATTCAGGAAAAAAGGTGGAGACTATTGGTCCTCTCAGATCAAAGTCATTTTAAACAAGAGGACTGAGTCTTCAAGATTGACCTCTTTGGGGTCAGTCTACCCAGAGAGGGTCCCAGAACAACAGCTCCAAATGGCAGCTGGATCAGGAACAGGAAATACAGGCTCTTGGGTCCCATCCCAGTCCTACTGAACCACAAACGCTGACAGTAGGTCCAATATTCTGTGTCTTAATTGATCTCCCTTGTGACTAAAGTTTGAAAGCCACTGTCTTAGGGTGATCCGATTCTGAAAAATGTAATCATTGTGGGCGTTACAGTGGTAGTTCTCAACCAAGGTCGTAAGACTTACTGGCATATTTTAGTCAATTGAAAAGGAAGTGGAGTTGCAGTATTACACTATGTCTAAGCTGTGGTCCTGCTGTCAAAAGTCTGAGGTAAGTGTAAGGTGAGCACACATGAGTGTGTGCCGTGGTTGACTCTTAAGGGTTCTTCACATTGTGGTCCGCTGATACAAATCTTAGAGCTGCACAGAACTTCCCTGTTACAGATGCCCTACTTTTCAATACAAGGCCCTCTTGACTTATGATAGGGTTTTGTTTCAATAAACCCACTGTAAATTGAAAATATCTAAGTCGAAAATGCAATTCAGGGATGGGCATGTGGCTTAAGGGTAGAAGCAGAGTGCCCACTTAACATGCTCTCGGCCCTAAGTTTGATTCCCAGCATCTCAAAAAATGCATTTAATATATCTAATCCATCAAACATCGTAGCTTAAGCTAATGATTTAAACATTCTCAAACGCACTAACCTAAATTGGGCAAAATCACCTATTTTATAAAGTCATCTGTTATATAACCATCTAATTTTTAACAGTGTTGAATATGAAATATAAAATTCAAAGGTTTTCAACTGAATGCTTATAATTTTCACACCACTATTGTCAACAAATTGTTAAGTCCAATTATTATAAACAGAGAGTCATTTGTGTATACTTAAGATTATTAGATGTCCTGGAATTATAAACTAAGGGCTGAGGATATTTCTGTTAAAATATAAATGTAGGATTCTCAGAATTCAAAAATATTCACTGATGATCTACAGTGCTACTTGTATTTTGAAACATAAATTATGAATTCCCAAAGTAAATAAACTATGATAATTAGAATGTGGTATCTCTGGACTTTTCTCTTCAATGGAGTGGGTTTAACCTTAGAGTGGTCAACTTATTGATCTACTAATGAAAAGATTGGATTGATTCAGCTTTACAATATAATCCATCTCTAGTATGCTGTGATTCAGAAACATTATGGTTATAAGTAAATCAGAGACATACAAAAAAACATAGAAGGGACTGGAAAATGATCCAGATTTCACTGGCTTGGGATATTCTCCAGAGCAGTGTTTTTCAGTTGCTATGTGCACAGGATCATTGAGGATCCTGAATTTTAAGAAATTCCCAGATATGTTGATGGTGCTGCTTTATGGACCTCACACTCCTCATGCCCTGAGGAGTGCGGCAGGAAAGAATGCTGAACCTGGAGAAATAAATTGGTATAAAGACAGGGTCCCTAGGGACTGGAGAATGCAGAGGGGCTCTGAATGCACATTGTCCTAACAGTTTGTTTTAATGATAGTTGGGTGGTCGTTAGGGTCCCTGTAAGAGAGGGGAGAAACTTCCTGGGGCCAGGGAACATAAGGGGAGTTAGGAAGTACTTACCAGGGGACTTGGGCTCAAGGCCTTAGGAGGTGGTCCTCAGCTCTAAGATGCACCTTGAAATTGCCTGTGAGTTCAAAAAAGTACCCATGCCTGGGTTCCACTCCCCAGTTATAGATAGTAGTTGACTATTGCTGATTTTGAAACCCTTCCTAAGTAATTCAGCTTTGCATCAGGATGGAAGAATAGAGTGTCGTAAACAATGTGTTTGCTAGTTGTATCTTTCTTTTCATGGAGTCTCTGCTCCTACTGTTAGGCTGTTTGAGCCACTCTGGTCCAAGGCCATCCTAAGGAGCTTGATGGAGCAGTCATCACTGGCTACACCCAAACAACTGTATCACTGGGTTCTTCCAGTTACCATGCGGAATCCTGGTGCTGAAAGCTCTGAGTTTTTGTTGGGAAAAACGTTTTCTATGACTTCTCTTTGGAATCTGTCTTCTTTGGGGAGAGTGAAAGACACCCTCTGTCTATTCTCTTTTCCTGTTTACTATTTCAAAACTTTCCCCCAATTGCTGACAACTTGCTAAGTTTAGAGCCAGAGTTATGCAACAACATTTTACCAGTTAGGACCAAAACTGAAAAAAAAAAAAAAAAAAAGAAGAAGAAAAAACCTCTGTGCTTTCCACTACATATAAATTATACTTGAGAATAATCTTCTGGAAGGAGATTGTCAGTAGTTTAAATCTGTGCCAACTTAATCAACTGTGATACACTATAGTCACGCAACGCCATGAACTCATGGTTTATGCTCTGAGCCTGAACTATGTGCATAACTTGTGTTAGTTTAAGAGGAGAGGCCAACAGAGAAGGTGTTTAGGGAGAATGGTACCCGCATTGTTTATCCATTAGGAGTAAACTGAAGATAGAGATTTATTTGACAGATATTAAAGGACTTTTTTGAGTCAGGTACTGTGCTAGGGCTGGGGACACAGAGTGACTTGCGCCAAATGGCATAGTTCTACCCTCATAGAGCTCACAGGCTAATGGGAGAAGTAGATAGCAAGGAAATAAACACACAAATAAATAGATAATGAAAGTGTGATATGTGCTATAGAATATATGCAAAGAGATCTGACCTTGGCTGGGGAGGCAGTCAGGGAAGTCTTCCATGAAAGTGGGACCTTTGAGTTAGAATCTCAAAATAATCATGAGTTAACTAGGCAAATAGGAGAAGGGAAAGGATGCCAAGTAGAAGAAAGGCCCTGTGTGTGAGGAATTAGGGAGAGCATGAAGGACTCAACAAGTCCAGAGTGGCTGGAGTCAAGTTCAAAGTAGGCAATCTTTAAGAAGGCGGGTTGCTGAGCAGTGGCCACCACACACAGTCCTTTACATAAGGTAAAGGACTCAGACAGCCACAGAGACCATGCCTCTTTCCCCATGCAAATCCTTCATAAAAATTGGTTTTGAGTAGGATCCCAAAGAGTTGGAGCTCATGATAAATTGTGGGACTCAAAATACAAAATAAATATTAAAATTTCAGTTATACACTGTTTAATGACAGGAATATGTTCTGAGATATGCCTTGTTAGCCATTTCATCATTATGTGAACATCATAGAACACTAAGACTGCTATGATGTCACTAGACAATAATCTATGAGACCTTTGGGGTACATGCTGTCCAATGTTGACTGAAATGTCATTATGTAGCTCATGTTTGTACTTTCAATTTTCAAGTGTGGTCATAATGTTCATGAATAAATGTGTTTGTGTTTGTGTGTATATGTAAATGTGTATACTAAATCAGCAGAAAAAGAATTCAAAACAATAGGCTGTACACTGCTTCTCTCGGTGTCTGCTCAGAATCAGTGGAGGGCTCCAGACCCCCAGCCTGAACTACCCTGACCTGCTGGTCATCTAGCCTCATTTCCTCAAAACTAAATCACATTTGAGGCCCTTTATCCCCCTGCTTCTTTCCAAACTGTGCAACAAGAGCTTAAGAAAACTCTATGCAGAGAGCACAAAATCCACCGTGACATCATTTCCTGAGCATTGGTGTTGAGGAAGAATCCCTACACACTTCATTCATTTTGCTAAATAATAAATAAATCCATTTACCAAATGCGCTTCTTTGTCAGCTGCACAAATCTTCTATTTACTTTGAGAAAACAGATCTACAAACGGGCTTTCTCCGTGGTCCCATTTTTTGAAAGTGGCTCTGTAGACGTGAGATTGCATTATAGTGCCTTTATAGAAACCCTCAAAGAGAGTCCCACCCTGGAAATAAAGAAATGGCCACAGTCTCCCTGCCTCACTAATCAGTTCACAGTATTCAGCATTGACAGCATTGTTCAGAAGCTGAATTCAGCCTTGGGGGCCTCTGTCTGGGTTGCTGAAGGGCATATAGAACTTTCCTCAAGTTGTGTGAATAGCGGCCTCCCAGCCAGCTGCGCGCACACCCCTCCTCTCTTGTTGCTCCCAGAGCCCTCCTTTCACTTGGCAATGGAATCCAGCATACAAACAAGGTCAAGGAGCTTTGTGAGAGAGTGACATTTGCAAAGGAAGGGAACACTTCAGCTGGGAGCTAGCAGGGGAAGGGCTAAGTGGCATGTGATCAGGAGGTGATGTCACTCTGGATTTCTACAAAGACAAGTATGGTCTTTTCCTTGGGGAGATAGATGACATCAGCCTCTCACATGGGGACTGCTCCATTTTTAACCTCTTTTTAGCTATTAACAAGATTTCTCAAGCTCTGAGAGTTTTCAGAAATTGGTT